GAGATGCAGGGGCCTCTCTGCCTCCACTGGCTCCCCACTCCCCAGCCACAGAACTCTGTCCCCACTCCCCGAACATTGTCCCCACTGGCTCCCTGTCCCCAGCTGCAGAAACCTGTCCCCACTGGCACTCTGTCCCCTGCCACAGAACCCTGTCCTCTGCCCTCCCAGCACCCTGTTCCCTCTCCCCTGCCCCCAGCCACAGAACTCTGTCCCCACAAAATGTATAATTATAAATGCTTCATTTTAGATTTAAATAGCATTAATAAAAACAGATCATTTATTTCATAACTATAAACAGGTGATTTTAATTTTATGTATAGCATAATTTAAAAGTAAACTGTTTATCAGTGTAAGTAAGGGCTGGGGATAGCAAGTGACTGACAGGAGGAGAATAGAGAGGGCGGGGCTTCAAGAAAGGGGCGGAGCTTCAAGGAAGGGGGGGCATAGATCTTCGGCTGTTCTGAGATTTAAAACGTGATCTTGCATGTAAAAAGGTTGGAGACCACTGCTCTAGGGCATCTGGTTTTTGCCTCTGTGGGCAGACGGGATACTGGGGTAGATGGACCTTTGGTCTGACCCAGTATGGTTGTTCTTATTCTGCCCTGTCACCTGATGCGTTGTGGCCAGTCCCTTCCTATACATTTCTTCTTCAAGTAATGCTGATTAGCACAGCTCCAGCCTAGCTCTGATTGGCAGCAGAGGTAGGACAAACTGTTAAAAGATTTTAAAACTACCCTTCCTGCTCAAAGAAAGCACCAGAGATCAACAGGAGACCACAGAGGTGGGAGAGGAAGGCAAGATCTTTCTGAGGCATGTGATTAGATTCTTTTAAACTGCCAAGTGCAACCTTAATTGCACTTAATGTTTTTTGCAGACACACTAATGAGGCCAGGCCCCTTAAGCATGGACATGGTCTGGCTAGCCCCAACTGCTTCAAATCCCACTCATTCGTCCGACAAAACCTAGAAGGGAAGAAATCAAGCCCGCGTTGAATTGGCTCCCCGGTGCTGTTTGGAGAGCTCTTCTGTAAGGCACATTGCCCTGCGCTGTAGTGAGCAATCCTGCAGAAAGCGGATGACATAATAGGTCCTCTCCCTCTCTGTGATTCATCGGTTCAGGGGGCTAAGCAGCGGGAAGGGCTGGAAGATGCTGCTGCTGATTAACTCTTCCCTCCCCATGGAATCCAATGGAAACGGGATCCCCGCGTGGACCCTTGGGGCCAGCGGACCCTGAGCAAGCACGTGGCTGGGGAGAGGCGCGCGGGTCCGGTTGCCTGGCCGCAGTCAGTGGCTGGATCGCGGAGGGGCCGCGAATCGATACAGCTGCAGTGG